AAATGTAGAAGACTAAACTTACATGTATGACCCATAGACATGAATGAAAGAGGGGGAATGTGGGTGGAATGGGGGTATACAGGGCGGAGGGGAATAAAGGGGAAAATGGGACAGCTGTAATAGCATAACGAATAAAATATATTAAAACAGAATAGTGCCTTGAAACAGTAAATGTTCAATAATGTTTGATATTATTAGTATTTTCTGATTATAGGGATTCTCGTTATCTCAGTATTTATCATCTGAAAGCTAGCTGTTGGGAAATCTTAACAAGATGTTCATTCTAACAAGAAAATGTTCACTACAAAATTGTTTAATAACATCAAATCTCTTGGCCTATCCTCAGAACTTTTCCCTATCCACTTCCTTTGTTTTCTTTCTCTTTAAATTGTATTAATTACTTTTGGGGGTGTGGGGGCAGGGGAAAAACAAAACTGATTTGTTTTTTCATTTATTTATTCATTCATTGGTTGATTCTTGGGGATTGAACCCACACCTTGGCATATGGGGATGATACTCTAACCAACAAAGCTACCTGCCCAGGGCCACTTACTCCTTGATCAGCCAAGCCCTACAGCATGGTTGGAAAAATATCAAACATCACAAGGTAAACTAATTGTACAGTGACATTACAAATCTTGAGAAAGGATATAAGCTTCAAAAAAGAATCACTCGAATATATAGGGATTAAGAGAGTAAAATAATTAATTAAAGCTTCAATTAGTTCAGAAATTATTCTTTGGAAATGCACAGGAAACGGATAGTAATGGAAAGGAAACTGGGACTCAAATCAAAGGAGTGGACCAGAAAGAGGAAAAAAATGACCAAACAGAAAAGAATGAAGAAACAAGAATTCAAAAAAATGAGGAGAGGCTTAGGAACCTCCAGGACATCTTTAAACGTTCCAACATCCAAATTATAGGAGTACCAGAAGGGGAAGAGGAACAGCCACCAGTGGAAAACTTATTTGAACAAATAATAAAGGAGAATTTCCCCAAGCTGGAAAAGGAAATAGACTTCCAGGAAATCCAGGAAGCTCAGAGAGTCCTAAAGAAATTGGACCCAAGGAGGAACACACCAAGGCACATCATCATTACATTAGCCAAGATTAAAATGAAAGAGAGAATTCTAAAAGCAGCAAGAGATAAGGGGACTGTCACCTACAAAGGAGTTCCCATCAGGCTGTCAGCTGATTTCTCAAAAGAGACCTTACAGGCAAGAAGGGGCTGGAAAGAAGTATTCCAAGTCATGAAATCCAAAGACCTACAACCAAGATTGCTCTATCCAGCAAAGCTTTCATTTATAATGGAAGGGCAGATAAAGTGCTTCTCAGATAAGGCCAAGTTCAAGGAGTTCATCATCACCAAGCCCTTATTATATGAAATGTTAAAGGGACTTACCTAAGAAAAAGAAGATAAAAAAGATGAACAGTTGAAAGGACAGCAAACTCACAGTTACTAAGAACCGCATCTAAAACAAAAGCAAACTAAGAGGACAGCTAGATCAGGAGCAGAACCATAGAAATGAAGATCACATGGAGGGTCAGCAACAGGGGAGTGGAGAAGGAGAAGGGGGTAGAAGGTACAGAAAATAAGTAGCATAGATGGTAGGTAGAAAATAGATAGGGGGAGGGCAAGAATAGTATGGGAAATATAGAATCTAAAGAACTTGAGACATAAACTAAAGGTCATAAACTAAAGGGGGGAATGGTGGGGGAGGGGTGTGCAGGGTGGAGGGGAATGAAGGGGGGAACAGAACTGTAATGGCATAATCAATAAAATATTTTTAAAAAGAAATTATTGTTATCATTATGTTGCAAAACTCAAGTTCTGATAGAAAAATTTCTCCCTCCAAATACTTCATTCATTCACTGTGAGTGCACTGAAAATTTAGATGTTGTTAAATGTAAAAGTAAGCTACTTTTTATGTTTAGTTTTCTCTTTTAAAAGGTATCCATCTTTTTCTTTAACTGTATAGCATGAAACTTTAGTACTGCTTCAAGATCCACTTTAAGTGGCTTTTTATTATGCTTGGAACATGAGCATCTATTTAGCCATGTCTATACACATAGAATAAGGAAGCTATAAAAACACCACCTTAAGTAATAAAGAAGAGTTAAAAACAGAAAACACTCCAAGGAAACATCGTAACATTAAAACTTCCCAATGTTTACAATCTATCGTTTCTTGCTTCCCAATAGTTTAGCAAGGAGACCTTTAAGACAAAAAGGAGTTGGGGAGACTACAGCTGACTTATCAGAGGTGTTTTAAGAAAAAAGCAGGCAAATTCCTGGAGTGTAAACCTGAAAAGTAAGGAGGTTAATCAGTGCTGGCCTGGACCTAAGGTTTATCAACTAAGTAAGCAAGTCCTTTTCATCTCAAGTCTAGCATTTATTTGGCATACCTAAAACCATCTGCTACAACATTCACGATTGAAGCAGTTCTTTCCTCAGAGGTTTCCTCAGACAGTGAAATCCTGTGGGAGGTGCACTCTGAAATATCATGCCCTTCCCTGCCAAGTGAAAGAGTGTTTCTGGAAGAGACTTTCCTCCTTAATTCTAGTTGAGCAGGCAAAAGTTATCATCTAGTATGGAAAGGGCAAAAGAAGTTCACAATAAACGTTTCACTTCCACACTAATGAAGCAGCCTATAGTCATGCCACATTCGGGGATCGCCTACTATTAGGCAAACTGCTAAATGCCCTAGGAATACATATAATTGGAAAAACACACCTTTAGGGGCCTCAAAGACCAGCCAGTAACATAGTCATGTAGGGTGATCAGCATCTTTCTAGCTTGGCATAGACAGTTCAAGAGTTCCCAGAGTCTTGCAAAACTAGTAAAAGCTACCAGAGCAAGTGGGTAGGAAGAGATCCCACGCAGAGGGAGAGATGCAGTGGCCGTACAGATGGGCAAGCTGGTGGGGCAGCCGGGACCATGGAGCACGCCAACATCAGCCCAGGGGGCAGGTCTCCCTCGCTGCCAGGTAGCCGAAGGGTTTGCGGAGCACCGCAGTGCAGGGAAAGCACTGTCCACGGTGCAACCAGAAACACCTTAATGTCAATGTCACAGTGCCTATGGTCAAAGACGTGGCCACTTAGCAGGAAGCGCCCCCCTTCAGTTACTGCACCGTTAGCAAATAAAAATGCACAACGCACAATTACAATTTCAGATACACAGCAAATAACTTTAGTATGAGGGTGTCCCATGCAATATTTGGGATATACCTAAGACTAAATTATTCGCTGGGTATCTGAAATCCCAAATTACCAGGGCATCTTGTATTTTATCTGGCAACAATGGTGGTGGGCTGGTGTCCAAGCAGACACAACTCAAGTATTCTGAGGCTCCTTCAACCGCTTAGGGCACCAACCTCTCCGCACCCTTTCGGACTGGAAGCCAAGCCACGTGGCGCCAGGAGAAAGAGGTGCGAGACCTCCGCGCCCCACTGAGCCCGCCCAGCCGGCCTGTCCGCCGCGTCCAGTACCTCGAGGCCGCCTCGCCCAGCCGGCCCGCCAAACCGCTCCCGCTTCGGGCGAGCCGCGTCCGCACTAGCGACGCGCTGCTCCAGATCATAGTCCAACCGCGGGCCGGGGCCGGGGCCAGGGCCGCAACGAACGGAGGAGATACAGCAGACCAAGACCCCGGAGAATCGGTGGGCCTCTGCTGACAGGCCCCGCCCCCGCACGCAACGCAAACGTTTTTTGCACGCTGGACAAACTCCGGGTCGCAAGGCCCCACCCTCTAAGTCCCTGGCCACGCCCCCGCCGGCTGGCTCCGCATCCGCCTCCCCGGTCCTGCCCCTCAGGGCTGCGAGCCCCAGCGCAGGTTTAGGAGGCTTGGCTGCTAAGCTCTTTCCTCTCTGGTGGTCAGCTTGCGGCGGTCCAGGAGCGTGGAGTCCGGCCGAGTAAGGGACTCGTGCATGCAGCTGCCTGATGGTCCGCCAGGGTCTCACCTGTTAGTTGCCAAGTCTTGTCCGAGACCCACACCTGTTTCTTTCAGGCTTGGGGACGCTCGTAAATACTCAAAGGCACGTGTGGGCAATGCGTGGGATTGTGACCAACCTTCTGGCCGAGCGAAGAAGAAAAATAATGACTGTCCCAAAGAGGCCCAGTGCCTAGGATGTTTATCTAAGGATGACAGCACACAACTTCCTGTTGGACAGGTCTAGATGTTTAAATATGTCTATCTTAAAATAAGGCCATTGATTGAGAATCTATATCAGTCTTGGGAATGTTGGATTTTACATTCACAATTAAAAGAAAAAAGTAATCCAATGTAGAATGTTCATTCCAAAGAATTCAAAATAAAAGTGACATTGGAAAATAAAACTTAAAAGAGCCCAGAAGTGTGTTGCAGTGGCTTTGGAAATAGGCCAGTGCTTCTCATGACAAAACAGGGCACACAGTCATGGTAATAATCGCCCTATGTGGGTGGCTATCTAAGATGAAGTGGGTAGGCCTTTATTTTTATTTACTGAGGACTTTGAACCCTAGTTCAAGGTCAAAGATCAAATGGAATACCTAAAATTTTGAACACTTATTAAAGTAATACAGACCTTTTTTCCCATCCTTCATGCTCAACCAGCTAAGTTAAAGATTCATGTTACCAAGCTACCAAATTAGAATTTCTGTTTCTGACAGTTCTTTCTACTTTTTCAAATAAGCTATGCTTCATGATTTCATAAAAGGGTGAAAGTTAGCTACAAAACAAATACCCCAAATAGTGTGAAATCATTATTCATGAATCCAAAATTAATTAAAAAGATTAAGATATGTTATAGTGTTGTGAGGGTTTTGTTTTTTTTTTTTTACCAAAAGAAAGCTGTTTAGGAGATTTACCATGTTCTTTTAGTTTTGAAGTAGACTTTTACTTTATTTGCCTCAAGTTGTTTTACAAAATAAAGACTACTTCGAGGTAAAACAATCATGTCATTATTTTAATATAGTAGAGATGGCTTACGTTTAAGTACAAAATTTATTGGACAAATTTTTTATTTTATTTTATTTTTTTTGTGAAAAGGAAACAAAATGTTTATTTAATGCTATTTAGGCTTAATGCCTCCACTAAAATATCAAAGTCCTTTAGGGTATACATCTACACCCACACAGCGCTCCCTTCTCCCATTGTCCCAACTCCGGGTACCGTAAATCAGGAAAAGAGCACACGTCTGTGTTTCAGACCGCTGGCACCGTCAGCTGTGTCACCGTGCAGGCAGGATCTCTCTATAGTTAATCCAAAGTCATGTGGCACCCTCACGGTCCACTGGCAAGAGTTCTTTGTACCAAGTTCCAGGCAAAGTCTCTCCTGCTTTCCAGGCCACACAGCCGAAGGGGACACCCCAAAGCTGCGTGGGCCTCTTCTACCAAAGTTGCAGGGGTCCACACTCCACCAAAAGCATGTGGCTTTCTTCTTCACCTAGTTGCAGGGATCTCCGTTCTGGCAAAGCTGCGTGATTTTCCCTTTCACCTGGGCAGTTATCCCCTCATGTCCTGGAGCCAGTCTTTTCCAAGCTCTCACCTATTGGACAAATTTTTTAAAAAGGGGATCCCACAATGAAAGTACTTCAGACAAAAATTTATGCAGATTAAGCATATTATAATTATCAGATTCTTTGTGTTTGATTAGGTAGTTACAGAAGTGATGATTTTTGGTCATATTTGTGATGTCTGCAGCAGCACACTAAGAACTATGCTAGCTGCTCGTTTGAATGTATAGTGTGAACATAATTGGGGACAGCCAGTATCGGTAGGTCAAGAAGGTGTTGATACAGCCTCATGAATTTTTTCATTCCTCAATATGGTAAAAGAATTGACATATCTTTACCTATTTTTTCAAACTTGTATTTTGTTCTTTAAATTGTCAATGAAAGCTGGTGTGTGTTCTTTGAGCAGGTTTTTGCCCTGCCTAGGGCTGGAAGCTACTAAGGCCAGTAAATGATGAGATCTTTTACTTGACAGGGCCTGTAAGGTAGGTCTTCTACAGTGGAGCCAACCTGTGGACCTTAGACCCCTGGCAGGCATCACAAATCTTTCCTCCAAAGAAACTTTTTAAAAAAGAGACTGACTATAAGCCCTCAAGGGTCAGTTATTGTGTTAGTTTCCTAAGGCTGCTCTGACCTATTACCACAAACTTAACAGAAATTGATTCTCTCACAGTTCTGGATGCTGTAAATACAAACCTGGCTGGGAGGTGCTCCTTCCAGAGGTTACTCTCCAGAACCGTTCATTTCCTTTCCCACCTTCTGGTGGCTCCAGGTGTTCCTGGCTTTCTTGACTTGTGGCTGTGTTTCTTCAGTCTCTGCTTCCACTTCCCATTGCCTTCTCCTGCTTGTCCCTGATGAGGACACTTGTTGATTAGAGTAAAGACCCACCTGGATAATCCAGGATGATCTCCTCAAGATCCCAAACTAGTTGGCATCTATCTGCCAAGACTCAGTTTTCCAAGTAACATTCACAGGGTCCAGGGATTTGACTGAAATATGTTAGTGGGGAGGAAAGGACCATTTTTTTCAGCCCATGTAATCTAAAACTGCCTAGAGAAAGTCTGATGTTTCTTTGAAGTTTGTGTACTTTGTTAAAAATCCTTTGAATTTTGTATTACACTCCCATTGCACTGTAATCCAGTTTTTGTTTTACTATATAGCTTCATCCTCTCCCATGTCAGTCTCTGCCATAGGCACAGTTTGCAAACGAGGTTCCTGCCCATGAGAGATAACACTCTATCTTTTCTCCAATTTTGTGAGCATGGTGTGAAATTCATGGTCCTTAGAGCTGAGTCATATTTTTACCCTCGCTTGTGTGGCTCAGTGGGTTGAGTGCCAGCCTGCGAACTGAAAGGTTGCTGGTTCAATTCCCAATCAGAGTACATGCCTGGGTTGAGGGCAAGATCCCCAGTTAGGCACATGTGAGAGACCGCCAAATGTTTCTTTTGCACATTGATGCTTCTCTCCCTCTTTTTGTCTCCCTTCTCCTCTCTCTCTAAAAAAACAAAACACCCTGTTTGAAAAGGTAAAAACAAATTTATGTGTGTCCAGACTTTGTTTCTACTGAACAATGTCTCCCTCTTGTGTTTTTTCTCCCCAAGTATACTGCAGCTGTAATTAAAATCACTTAGTTTAAAACCGCCACTGAGATGCATTGTAAGTTTTTGGCATTATAAAGTTTCTCATTCTGCAAGTACAGAGATTCTTCTTTCACAGAAATGCTTGAGAAGCAATGTTGCCTTTCCAAACAACAAGTTTTCCAATGCTCTGACATCAACTGGGTACTCTATACTTCAGTTCAATGCTGACACCACCTGGAATGAGCACATGCCCGACAGGTTCAAGACTCAGTGCCACAAGTCTGCCTCCACTTTGGACACCAACCACAAATGGGGGTGTCCTGGCTACTTGCAGTTCTGCCTGGCCAACCACAAATTTGGGTGTTACTATGACCTCCCTCAGATTCAGTAATTTTCTGGAAAAACTGACAAAATTCAGGAAAGTGCTGTCCTTACAAATATAGTTTTAATTCAAAGGATATATCCCAGGAACAGCCAAATGGAGGAGATGCATGGGGCAAGTTTGGGGGAGGTTGGGTGCAGAACTTCTCTATACTCTCTCCGGGAACACCCCTCCATGGTTTTCACTAACCAGCTGCTGCCCCCAGACCTTTCCATTCAAGAGTTTTCATCAAAGTTTCATTTCATAGGCATGATTGAGTAAAGTAATGGTAAGAACTCAGTCTCCAGCCCCCTCTCCTCCTGCCAGGTGTTTGGGGGTGGGAGGTGGGTGTAGAAAGTCCAACCATTAAGCCCGAGTAGCCACTCCCTTGGAACTAAATAAGGATTCTCTAGGAATCACCTCACTAACATCAACTCAGGAACATGGGAAAGGGAGTTGTTATGAATAACAACGGACTTCAACTACTCAGGAAATTCCAAGGCTTTTAGGAGCTCTGTGCCAGGAACCAAACCGGGAACAAAAAGCAAATACATATACAAATACTATCAATTTTATACATATATAAAATTATACCACAAGGACCTAGCTAGCCTTTGTATAGAAACCCAGGGGTTAAAATGTAAGTGAAAGATGTCAGATGTTATTTGAAGTTCTTATACTCAGAAAGCACATGGTTTGGGTTCCTAATTTAAGAATGAAATGGATAAAGAAATACCATTGTTAGATAGGTTATAATATCCAGCTGTATAGTAAAAATGGAGTTAACAATTTCTTCAGAAATTGTGTCAAAGTGAAAGATATTTCAATGCTTTGAGATTGGAGAACAGGAAGAGATAGTATTTTATACATCATGGAAGAATTGGGAGTGATATTCCTGAACCAAGTGTGCCCTGGATGTATTTATGAGGAAATTAAAGATATATCATTCATTAGGGGCAATCCTGTTAAAGAATGTGGTAATTTTAACCCTTCAATTCACTCATCTGGTATATTCTGACCCAAAGTATTTGCTTTTATTTTCTTCCAAGCACTTTCTTCTTCTATATATATCATGTCTATATCCATAAAATGTGTGTCCTTAAGTCTCTGGGTCAATAGACTGGATGACAAGAGCAGAATATAGGTTTTTTTTTGAAGTGTGAGCAAATTATTTTTTTAAAAGATCTCGGGTGGTCTCTATGCCTTGGACTAGACAAATTAATGACTCCAAGCGCCATGTGGTGTTGAACAAACAACATTTAGTGATCAGTGTTTCCTGACCTTTGCATTCTGGAGGTTTTTTTTTTTCTGTCTACTTAATGAGTTCAGTGTTTCTTTGTCTTGTCCATTTTCTCTTGTGAAGAAGAGGCTAACCTTGTATTTTTATTCTTACTTTCTTATGAATTTAAAGAGAATGAATATTTTCAACTTCACTGATGAATCAGATATTCACTTAATAGTATAGAAACTTTCAACTGTTGATGCAAAAGACTAAAAGCATGTGTCTGGTAAAATATAGTAGAGAATATAGTGAATATAAGTAAATTCACATGCATAATTGAGTGACATTATCTGGTTCAGATTGAAAACTGAGAAATGTCAGTGGCATTTCAAAAACAGGCTACAGGGGTAGTTTTATTCTACTGAGTCTCTGACTCTTTAAGATGTAATGATGGGTATGCCTCTCTCCATAGTGCATTCCTTGGAAACTCTGTCCCAAGGTCATTGACAGAAATGAAATTTTCATTAAGATTCAGCAGACACCCTTACCACCACAGACTGGGATCCTTGATTCTAGTTGGACATCTGAAATCTCTTGTGTCTATTTCTGGCTAAGGCCATGGATGCTTAACTAAGCTCTGACTTTTCACTGAAATCCTTTACATTGGTTATTTTATTTTCTTTCCTAGGAAGAAGTCTCCTGGGACCCTTCTGTTATCTGACCAGATTTGTGGTGTTCATTTGTGAAATTGTTTCCTAGCCTTCTAACATTTTTCTCCTGTTGTCTGTTTGTCAGGTTGTCTGGTGGGGGAAAAGTCTGTGGGAAGATTCCAGGCAAGGGTCCCGTAAGTCTGTGCTTGAGCTGGCCCCCGAGGTCTCCTTTGAATCACCTTTGCCTCCAGTCTCCTCTCCAAGGCAAAAGTAGATAAAGATATTTTCCTTTGTCTTGCCTTTGTGGCCCTGCTTTGTTTAATTTCATAAAAGCAGGAGGTTTGCCCCACCGGTGTTTGAAGATGATTAGCCTTTGGTCAACTTCCAGAGCCCTGAGGTTTCACCAGCACTACCTCTCAGGAATCGGGCTGTTCCAACCGGGGCTTCTCAGCGGAGCACTGCCACCTCCATCCCGCACACGGCTTCCCTCACGTTTGCACACTGCTAACTTGTACACTCACCTAACCGGCACGACTGCACCAGCGACAGTTTGAGCTCCCCTGGCCGGTTTGGTTATTTCTGACAAGAACATTGTTTACTTAAAAGGTGTTTTAGAACAAAAATAAAAGAAACCTTCATGAAGAAATTGTCTTGTGTACAAGAAAGAGAATTTTTAATTTAAGGTAGGAGACACTCCCTCATATATGTCCATACTTGAAGGCTGCTAAAGCTAGCCTTTTCATTGTATGACCAGGTGAAATTGTTAAGGCCCAACTTACTCTTTAAATCAGCCATAGTAACACTCTGGTGTGTGTACGTATTAAAATGGGTATTTCTACATCTAAATTTTCTCTCTTTGCATAGAAAATATAAATAGGCTTTTACACTGGAAATTTCATATTTGTCTAAAAGCCGGCAGCTTCTCTCTGTTCTGTTTTTCCCTCCCTTAAAGATTAACTGATGGATCAAACAAACAAAATTGTTGAAATAATATAAAATGCACGTTCATGGGAAAAACAGCTAAGTAATTACTGGTTTTCTGTCTGATGATTTTCTCTTTTGTTTGGAGAAAAAGATGGTTACTTCGAATAAATGTGATCCTTAATGTGACTGGTTGACTATATGAGGTTGCAATAATTACAAAGAAATAAAAGAATGTATGGCAAACAATCTATATGAATTTGAGAATTATTATTTAACAAGATTTTAAATTTAATTGATACATTGTTTTAGTTCAAATACATATTTTAAGGCTATAGTTAAAATTTTTATATTATTTGCATATGTTCATTTATGCTTAAATATACATAACATAAAGGTATAGTTATAAACCTTATATAGCCAATAGTTACATGAATAATGTACAAAAGAGTGAAATTAAAATATGGGCCTTTTTTCTGTAAAAGAATTCAGTCATTCTGTGCCCAAGTGAGTAGAGGTTCCTTTTCATCCACCAAAATATGTTAATTCTCAGTACTTTCTAACATATTCAATCATGAATTTTGAAAAGACTCCTCCTTTTGAAAAATTTAATTCCTAATACAATTGTTGTCTATTGCTGTTTTTACAATATTGCCTCTAAATATTTCTTTAGATGCTTATTTTTTTAATTCCTTTAAAAAATTTGATTCTAGAGAGAGGGGAAAAGACAGGGAGAGAAACATCAATGTGAGAGAGAACTGCATGCTCCTGGACTGGGAACAGAACTCACAACCCAGGCAAGTGTCATAACTGGGAACTGAATTCATAACCTTTTGATTTGCAGGATGACGCCCAATTAACTGAGCCACACACCAGTGAGGGCTCCTTTTAGGTACCTATAACTTAGTTCTTGTCTGCTCTAACAACTGTTGTTAATTTTGTTTTTTCTCAATTTAGGCTCTAGATTCAGAATAATGGCTAAATTCTGATCAGGTCTCCCAAAATGGCCATTGGGGAAAAAAAGAATTACTCCTTTACTCTAAAGATTAAAAGTCAAGAAACATAATTAGATATTTCTATAATTCTTCACTTTTAAAAAAGATTTTATTTATTTGTGTTTAGAGAGAGGGGAACGTAGGGAGAAAGGGAGGGAGAGAAATATCAATGTGTGGTTGCCTCTTGTGTGCTCACTACTGGGGACCTGGCCTGCAACCCAAGCATGTGCCCTGACTGGGAATCGAACCAACAACCATTCGGTTTGCAGGCTGGCACTTAATCCACTGAGCCACACCAGCCAGGGGTAATTCTTCACATTTGAAAAAAATTATTGAGAAATTGTTTTCAAATATTAGGAAAGAAATATACAAAAAGAGGCTGTCTTAGGTTAATTTTCTATAAACAAAATGTGTTAATAAAAGTATCTTTCACTGGTTGTAGTATACTTTTCAAGTTAAAAGAAACCTATCAAAGTCTTTGTTTCCAGCTCTGGCTGGTGTAGCTCAGTGGGTTAAGCACCAGCCTGTGAACCAAAGGGTAGCAGGTTTGATTCCCAATCAGGGCATATGCGTGGGTTGTGGGCCAGATTCCTGGTGGGGGCATGCAAGAGGAAACCACACACTGATGTTTCTATCCCTCTCTTTCTTCCTCCCTTCCCCTCTGTCTAAAAGTAAATAAATAGAATCTCTAAAAAAATTTTTGTTTCCAGGAATCTCATTTCAAAAATCCTTTTCTGTTTTTGTCCAGGGAAGTTCTGAATAAGCCCGAGTGGTACTGACTCTAGAAGTTTATTACTTACTTTAGTCTTTCATTAGATCCAGTAGCCAAAGGGCACTCGTCTTGTCTAAGAACTCTAGTTGTTTCAGGGCCCCTGCTAAACCTAATTATTCCCCAAGCCAAGCAGACTTTCTTAAAGCCAGCTGATTAACCTATAAAGTACTGTTTTCCTCGCTCACCACTGTCCATTACTACAACACTAAATCTGGTCACCTGCCTTTCTTTACAAAAGTTATTCCCACCACTGATTACCTCCTTTAGGAACTGCCCTTAATACAGCAGGTCCCTGAATAACATCACTTTGTCCAAGTTGATAGGAAAAAACTGTATTCTAGCTGAGGTCACGGTCTGAGTGCAGTGGGAACATCCTTCCCTTGTATGCTGTGGTCTCCTCCCACGTCCCAAAGATGTGCATACACAAGTTCAATGATGTGTCTACATGGTGCCAGTCTGAGTGAGTAGCTAAATATACAATTTGGAAAGGTGAATAAAAACAACCAAGAGCATTCTTTTCCTACCTGTTTACTTCAGGTCAGGGTTGCAGTGACCAAAGCCTGTCCCTGCAGTGTGGATCCACCTTGGACAGCACTCCCTTCCAACCCAAAGCCACTCACACCCACCACGCCCACTCAGACTGAGACCATGTAGACAAGCCAGTGACCCTCACCTGTACGCCTGTCTTTGGGTTGTGGGAGGAAATCAGAGACTCCAGAGCCCTGGGGGGAAAACCAACACACACATGAGGACACAGCAAAATACACACAGGGAGTGGCCAGGCAAGATGATGTTTTTTCATGAAGGAGCAATGGTTATTCCAGGACCTGCGGTTTACTGAATTGATTTCGTTTCCAGCACAGCAAGGCCACCCTTGTGCCGTCTGAATGTCAGTTTAAAAAATCAAGTAATCCCAAAGCGCTCTAATTCGGGCAGTTGTAGTTCTTAACTTTCCCATTGGCATCTTGGAACATTCCTTTCAAATTCAGTCCTTTGGGGTTGGTGGGGAGGAACGGGGGCCAAGATGGAAAAACTCATCGTGTACAGAATGTAGGGATAAGACCCCACATGGGTGGCGTTTTGATTTGCTATATGCTTTCACCTAATTCTCTTATTAACTCCATTTTCGCTATTGCCCAACTGTTGCTGTGATAAGGTGCCAAGCTGACCAAGGTCAAAGAACAGCGAACAAAAGTGGTGTCCAGGACTCATCTCTGCTGGCTTCTGTCTTTTCCAGTACGAGAATTCACCCAAAACCCCAAACCTCACCCTTCCAGTGGCGATTAATCCCTGAGCGCCAGGGGCAGTTTGCTAGGCCTGAGTTCCACCTCGATCGCAACACCGTCCTAGTGCTCTGCAAATCTTTAGCCAAGCTCCGTGCTCGCCAAAGCAGGGAGCCCAGAGCCTTTCCCCACACTCAGCACGGGCTCCAGCGATGGAAGCGTGGACTCCCCGCGCACGTGCGCGCGCACCTGTCGGTTGCCGCGCGCACGCGCGCGGCGGGGTGGGAGGGAAGGGTGAGAGGGATTTTGCAATAAGTTCTCCGTGCGCTTGCGCCCGGCGAGGAGTCCAGTCCGTGCGTCGTACGTGGGCGTCGCGCCTCTCCGCCGCGAGGTTCGGGTGGGGAGTCGGCCGCGTGTGGAGCGGAGGTCTGAGAGGGGCGTGTTCCGAGGCCGCGGGAACGCCCCCTGGCGGCGGCCGCGTCGCATTAGGAGCACGCAGTCAGGCGTTCTCCCCGGGCAGCCGGCGGCGGGGCCTTGCCTCCTAGCGCGGGGTCCTCGGCGGCCTGGGCGGCTCCTGCCCCTGTTGCTGGCGTAGCGAGCACGGCTGCGAGCGCGACTGCAGTTGGCTCGCGGCGGCGGCGTTGGCGACGGCGGAGCAGCCGCGGGCTAGCGAGGCGACAGACGCGGCCGGAGGCAGGCGCGGCGGCGGCGGCGGCGCTGCGGGCCCGCGGCGGCGAGGGGGCGGAAGATGGCGGACGTGCTCAGCGTCCTGCGACAGTACAACATCCAGAAGAAGGAGATTGTAGTGAAGGGGGACGAAGTCATCTTTGGCGAGTTCTCCTGGCCCAAGAACGTGAAGACCAACTATGTGGTTTGGGGGTACGTCGGGCCGGGCTGAGGTGGGCGCGGGGTGGCTGGGCAGAGTCGGGCGACCTCGGTCCCCCTCGGTCCCCTCCCCTCCCCCCGTGCCGCTCGGGGGTGGGAAAAACGGGGTCTCTGGGCGAAAAGTTTTTGTCTGGAGCAGAAGTTGCACTTTTAGGTGGGGATGTAGAGGAGCCGCGACAGGAGCGGCAGCCGCGTCAGGAGCGGCGCATCCCTTTCAGTGTCTGGGCAGCGTGTGACTTCCCGGGTTCTCCGAGCTACCTGCGTGGGGCGCACCGGCCGCCCCCGGGACGCCCCTTTTTGTTCTTGACGTTCCTTTCCTCGCTTCGCGCTGCCCTCGGATGCGAGTGTCTCCGCTGTCCTGGAAGCACCTGGTCGTTGTGCGGTGCTTTCGTGGTTCCCTTAGGAGAGGACGGGACGAGCTTTTCAGGATTGTGACTAGGTCACTTTGGGAGAGTCCTGCAGGTTGTGTTGCAGGTGAAGGAAGGAGTCTCCCAAGGGAGCAGAGACTGGGGAGCTCCTGGAGAGAAAGGGATGGTGTGATTTCGGGAAACGTGCTTTAAGGAGAAATGTTTTGGGATGTCGATCCACGTGGCGTGTCCTGACTTGAGGTCCTGAAGAAAGTATCTAGAAAGAGCTTGGGGGAATCGTCTGCGCCTTTCCAGGGATGTTGGTGTCTCATTGGTATTAATTAGAACCCGGGGCCAGAACGTCCCTGACCTCCTGGTTCCAGTTGACGGGAGTTGTGGGCTTTGTGAAGAAGATTTGGTGAGATCCAGGGGAGATGGAGTTTGTTGGTTGGGTTCTGTGTTTGCTTTTTGGCCTCCAGGGCTTTCGATTTAATTAGCTTTATGACATGTTGGTGAAGCGACTCTATTCTGATTTTCGTGTGTGTGTGTGTGTGTGTGTGTGTGTGTGTGTGTGTGTGTTTTATTTTCAAAGTTGTACAAGCAGAATTACAGTTGCTTGGAGTTTTAACCGACTTTTAGTTTTTCTTTTAAAAAAATGGCTAAGGAGTTTATTTGGGCCATAGAGCCATTCAGCCTGAGAAATAGGAAAATTCTTAGGACCCTGGTCTCTGCCTGGAAGGAGGTCGACTTACTCAGCCCCTGTGATCTTGGGGTGTTGGGTTTCATAGACCTATGTTTGTTTCGTGGACATGATACAGATTTCTCTTGAGTACATGAATGAGTAAATAGATAAGCTTTAAAGAACGGATGGGAATTCTGAGGTTCGAATGATGGGTTATTTATGTGTTTCAGGACCAGGGAACCACTGATGCTTAAAAGGCCTGGTAGCCAGAGAAGAAACATTTTGGTAGCAACTCAGTGAAGCCAGAGCAGGGGAGTGCTTAGGATAGTAGGTTTCACACTTTTAGAGCAGTGAATCACACCAGTAAATATATTCACTTACTGTTCATTTGTGTGCACGTGTAAATATGTACATACTTGTAGCATTGTCGATACATTATTGCATGTGCTGCATTCTGTTACTCTGCTTTCCTCTCATAAAAAAGCCTCTGTTGTTACCCATATATTAGATTTCATAGTACAATAATTGACAGTGATGTGTGGTTTGAAATATATCTACTGAGGGGAAAAGTGTAAATAAAGGCTAGAAAATTAGGTTGGGGGCTGATTATATGGGGTGTATTCAGATGCATTCAAATACTGTGGCATTTGTAGGGGCAGAGTGTGGTGGGAAGGGTGGGACTGGCTGCTGATACTGCTGAGCATTGAAGAGCTTGTACCCCCAGATGACATTGTTTTGTCAGGGGTAGAATTCATTGTGCTTTACAGCGTTGGTGTAATTTGAGGGATGTCATAAGAATTATACCTCTGAAATTCATTGTTGTGTTTACTGTGAAAGTGTTACTTGGAAGACATAGTAGGATCAATGTCTTGTAAGGTTAGCCTCCCACAATAATCTTCTTAAGCAGTTTGATTAAGAAGCTTCTCCTAATCAGTTTGAGTCTTTTATTGATCCTCTCCAATGTGTTACTGATTAGGTTTCTCTATTGACCCAGCCCAGAACCTAACTTGGGCCAAACTCTAAAAAGTGTTTAGTAGCCTAGGATATAAATATTGTGTGCTTTCCTTACCAGCTGCTTTTTTGTCTTTGTCTACCTTTGTGTTCCTTTGACACTAAGGATAGTTCCATTTATTAGATTTCATACTTTGTTGTACTTTCTTTAGAAAAAGAGATTGTATTTATTTATTTTTGGAGAGAGGGGAAGGGAGGGCTAAAGAGAGGGAGAGAAACATCAATCCCCTTGTGCACCCTGACCTGGGGCCCAACCAGGACCTTTGCCTTGAGGGAGGATCCCCACCCACTGGAGCCACATGGGAGCCACGCTGGTCACTTTGTGTGTGTTTTCATTTGCTGTGTGAAATCCATTGTTGGAGAGGAAAGTGGGATAGGTGAATTAGTGTGTGTAGTTAAGCTCAGAAAATTGAATTAGAATTGTGAGTAAAACTCTTGTCATACTTATTTCAGGACTGGAAAGGAAGGACAACCTAGAGAGTATTACACGTTGGATTCTATCTTGTTTCTACTTAATAATGTGCACCTTTCTCATCCTGTTTATGTCCGACGTGCAGCCGTAAGTAGAACTCACTTTAAAAGTTTTTTTATTTAATCGAGTGTAGATACCATTTGGCATGGATAACTTCCCTAGTGGGTTGCAAATCCAAAGGATGAAACGGTTGTATTAAAATCTCCTGGTGGGTTGTGATTATATTATTGTGATTTGTGGACATTTTTTACATGTAAAACGTGGGTGGTGTTTACAATAACAAAAGTTTTAAGGCCATTTGTAGGGATATTTTAAATAATTTATGTGTCTGTGGAAGGACCCCAATGTTCAGGACTCCAGTTTAATCTCCAGAAAACTTTTTTTGATCAAACAGAATTAAGAATAACAGGCAACTTTTAAAATTAATTTTTAATTAGTAGACTTTTCAAACTTTATCGATAAATTTATTTTCAGTTTTGCCTGATTTCTACATTTCAGTGTCTGAAATTCGTAACCGCTGTTACTTGGGATTTGGGGGAAGAGTGGGTTGAAGTAGCAGCATCTCTCTCTATAGAGCAGTGTTAACTCACATTAGATCTTTGAAGTGAGTTAGGCAGAAACTAGAATGTTTTGTTGGGTATATCGATTCATTTTTAAGTAGTAAAGTTGCTCCAGATTCTTGGTTTAGAATTAGAAATTTTGCTTTTGGGGAATGGTTATAGCATATAATGAATGGATAGCTGTGATTGTTTCTGATGCCCTTAGCACCCTTGGTCACATAAGATTTAATCCTTGTTTTTTCTCAACTATTTGACACATCAAAAGGGCAGGATTCTAAAACTCTAGGGTTCTGCAGTTTTATTCTCCTAACTCCCCTGTGTTATTTGCTCCTTCTTCTGGGTGGACAATTTCTGAAATGTTCCCCTAACCCATAGTTCCTTCGTTACCATCCAGGGCAGTGTGCAGAGTGCCTGGTGCAATGGGATTAAATCAGTGCCCAGGGTGAGATAGTTAGTTAGCTAGAGACACTAAGGGCTCTTGTTACTTCAGTGTTGCTTATATAAAGTGACAAAGGGATTTTTAACTTCATAATCCAGCAGCCACCAGTTTTTCTTGTACTGTGTTGTTTGTTTACATTATAAAAATGATATGGAAATAGTGGTAATCATAGGATTTACTGAGTTCATGGCCCATAAATGACTTCTGCCTAAAGCATACAGGTTTATTTATTTTGCTCACCTCTATACATTGCTAGTGTAGTAGGATAAAGGAAATAATAGATATTTTTCCATAATAGATAAATTTTCAAGATTTAATTTTTTTACACCTTTTTTCTGGCATACAGAATTTCAGCTTGCCGAAGGATAAAAAGGAATATGTAAGGTAGAAAATAAACAAAGGTCATAAACATTTTCTTATATAATTGTCTAAATCCCCCCCCCCCCGCCTAAATAATACATACCTATTGTTGATTATGAAAACTTAGTTTTAGTGCCTGTTAGTTTTTTTGAGAGTTCAGGTAGACTATTTGGAGGCTCGTTTGGGTGTGAAAAAAGAAAGTGCTTTGGAAGAATTGCCTGATGTGGGCAAGCACTTGGGCTTAGAAAGATCTGCCTCAAAGAGCACGCAAACCGTCGCATGCAAAATTAAAAATACATACTTAAGAGTAAGCCACGGGAACCAGAGACTCAAATTGATATTATATAGCGTTTTATTTCTAATGACTATCATTTTTATATCATAATTAAGTTTAAAGAGTAGACTTATCAAAAATTAATATGCTTAAAGTTTTTAAAGATTTTCACTAGGTTATTTTAGCCTAGCCATTTTCTAAAAATATCCTAAATAAATGTTATTAAGTTACATTGAAATAAAATTCAGATATTATGTAATATTTACTTTCACCGAGTTTCTTGTAATTATTATTAATTTGATATCTAATTAAAACTTTTATTTCAGACTGAAAATATTCCTGTGGTTAGAAGACCTGACCGAAAAGATCTGCTTGGATATCTCAATGGTGAAGCATGTGAGTAGCTTTTGTATTGCTCTTCCTCTTTTTTTCTTTCTTTATTTTGACTTCATCTTTATTGTATTTTTCCGTTACCATTTAGTCTCCTTATATTCCTCTCCCCCTAGTATATTGCTGTCCCTCTTACGTAGACCTTGTTTCATTTTGTCCCCTGTAAAATAAGCAGTGGGAGAGAATTTGTGTTTCCACTAAAAGCTGACCTGTCTGCACCTCTCTCCATCGGCTCTCCTTCCTTCCTGTGGAAAACCTCTCATTTTATTTTGTGTACTTCCCTGCAGTGCTGACCTGTTCCTGAGCTCCAGACTTAGGAAGTCACTCTCAGCATCTTCCCCTGGAGATTTACTAGGCATCTGGAATTTAACATATTCAGATTCAATGCTGATTACCTCCTCCCTGTCTCCTGGAAACAAAACTAAAACAGCAGGTTTATTCCCAGTGTTCCCATTTCAGTAAATGGTTTCCCATCCATGGAGTTGCTCAAGCCAAGGCCCTGGCTCTCACTTCTCAAGTGCACACTCTCCGGGAAAGTCTGACAGCTTCTTACTGGTCTCCCCCCACCCTACTCTGTGTTTCCTCTTCCAAGTCCTGCATGGCCCTCCCTTGGGTTTCCACATGCTGTTTTCTACAGTGTCCCCTCCGCCTGCTGTTAGAGTGGCCTGCTTTTGAAAAGCATGTAACTTGATGTGTCACTCACCTGCTCAAGGCCATCCTGGGGCTTCCCATCACACTTATCCTGACTAACACAATCTTGCTTCTGCCTAGATCTCTGACCACATGTCCTACCAATCTTCCTTGCCAACGGCAGTCCATCTTGCTTGTTCTTGTAACTGTTCTAACTCCTAGAGCTTTTGCAGGCGCTGTTCTCTCTGTGTTCAGCCTTGTTCCTCTACATTGTCACATGGCTCCCTTTCTATCACTTCATTCAGCTCTGTGCTCAAATGGTGCTCTGTCAGGGGGAGCTTATCTGGCCATTCCGAAGTGTAAAATAACACTGCTTTCCCTCATTGGCCGGCTGTGAATGGTACCTCCTGTTTTATTTTCCATAAAATCCCTTATGTTCATCTGGGATTATGTGTTTGTTTGTGTACTTATATATTATCTCTCTTCCCCACCAGAGGGTAAATTCTAAGGGGCAGACACATTGTTAAATAACCCTACACTTAGAACAGTTAATAGTCGGTGCTTACCTGAGTAAGTGAGTAGTAGTTAACTTGCATCTTGCAGAGTATGAATAAATTTATGGCGTAGAACTGTTTGGTCTTGCCTTTGCTGGGGTGGAGTTCATTACCTTGACGTCCTCTCTGTCTCGTCCCATGTGCTCCCAGGCTTGAGCATGAAGATTGGTTTGCACACCCTCGGATGTAATGGAGAGACCATCATCAAGGGTGTTGGCTCCCTGTAGTATCCGCACTGAGTGATCAGCAGGCACTCCCTGAGTGCTTATTCTTAAAAGGCATTATTCTGCATGCTGTGCAAAATGCAAAGGCCCTGTCCTAAAACATGTTACAGAGGTGCAAGGTAGATGTGATAAAGGGTGAGAAGTAGGGGTAGCCCTGGGGAGAGGGATCTTCAGTTTGTGGTGAAGAGGGTGGAGTTGGGAAAGATAGGCAAAGGCTTTTTTCCCCCTCCTTTGAACCATATGGTGGTACAGTTGGTAAAACAGATTTTTTGTTTTGCTTTAGAAGATCTGGTGTGGAGTCTTAGGATTCTCTCTTTTTAATAAGTTATCTCAGGTGAGCCTGGTAAATACGATAGTTTGGGGACAGTGCTTCAGAGCAAGTGGTTTTTCTTTCCAGAACAGAGTTGCACTTTACCCATCCTCATCATTTCCTGTACTTTCTATAGGATAAATAATTTTAGTCATCAAGTACATTGCTTTGCTAATTTTTTTCAAAATTGCTAATTTAATGGTTAAATGAAAAAGATCAAATCTTGACATTTCATGTACTCATACAGGAAGACATAACAGCTTAAAGATAAGAGATCTTGACATAATTTGTACATTTAACATGATCCCAATAAAAATCTGAAGGGAATGGGTGGAACTGTCCCATTTAGAATCATCAGAAAAGATGATTCTAAAATTCACTTAGTAAAGTTAACATCACAAAAATTTGGAGAAGAGCAATGAGAAAATACCAGCCATTGTAGAGTTTAGAACTTAAAGCCCAAATAATTTAAAATATCTGAATGAATAAATTGATAAAAACTTTTTTTTAGATCTTTTAAATTGACTTTGTAGAGAGAATGGGAGGGAGGGAGAGAGAAACATCAGTGTGCGAGCGTAGAAAGAACTTTCTTATTTGCTAGATGTGTGAGTTTAACGAGATTAAAAAGACATTTTTAATCAGTGGTGGGATTATTCAATTAATGGGTTGGTAAAAAAATAAAAGTGGTGGCATCGCGAAAACATGGTAAACTGGGAAAGGGTATTTCAGCTCATTAAAGTAAAAGGGCCAATCTCACTGATAATGTGAAATTGCCTTAGAAATGTATACATACTGTAAATGACCAGCAACCCAATGTATTATAGTCACATAGTTACTGGAACATCCCATTAAAATCATACGAAAAATGCTTCATTTCATTCAGAGAAATAGAATTGCAGACTTAAACTTGCTCAGAAGCATTTTTTTTTAAGTGGCAAAAGTCTAGAAGTTTGATAATGCACTCAAAGGCTGTGTGGGGCAATAGATATTTTAGTGAATGGTTGTTTGTAATGTCAATCAACACAACCCCACTGAGGAAATTCGGCAGTAATCGATCATCATAGATCGACAGAGAGGTGTTGCACATCTGGGTCTTCATTCTAGAGGCGTGTTTGGAAATGTGCAAAGCAGGGTATATATAAAACTTTATGTGTTTAAAGTTCTTCATTCTGCCCTTGTTTGTAGTGGCAAAAGGCAGAATTGAACTGCCCATTGATGGAGAACCTGTTAAGTAAGTTACAGGTATTCCATATATTAGAATACTATGTAGCAATTTTTTAAAAAGTGAAAAAGTGTTTCACAGACTGATAGGGAAGGATATTGGAGGAGATATATTATTAAGTTAAAAAAAGGAATGTTCAGAACAGTGTATATAGTATACTGTCTTTTGTGTAAAAAAAAGAGAAAAAGTAAAGGTAGTTTGTATCTACAGAAAGGAACTCTAGAAAGATCCACAAGAGACTTAATAGTAGTCACGTGACATGTTGAGAACTAGGTGGATGGAGATGATATACCCTTGGTTATCTTTTTCAAATGGTTTTAATTTAAAAATAATTTCTATCAATTATGAATAAGTAAAAATGTTACAAACTGAATGCTAACTTAGAAAATAACCTTTCCCTCATATGTATATGTTTATGTATTTATGATTAACTATACTTTTATGTGCACATGTTGGGGTATTGGAGTATGTTCTTTGAAGTGACCAGTTGATTTCAGTCAGATTATCTCAATAATTTGTAAGTTAAACTGTTAAAAATAGTTTTGTCTAATAGATTTTCTAATACACTTTAGTCTTTTATAATAAAGTGCATTTACAAAGCTGCTTTAAAACTTAGGTTTTACCTAGGGGAATGACCTATATAAAGTAATAGACCAAATCTCGAACTTTTCTCTTATGATAACATCTATTGTTTGTGTTCAGATATTGACCTCACATAAATCTTTTTAAATCTTCAGCAACATCGGCGAGTATAGACAGAAGTGCCCCTCTAGAAATAGGTCTTCAGCGATCTACTCAAGGTATGTCTTGTCAGATGTTTATATAGAACTTTCAAGAACCTGTCCCCAAACTATGCATTTATTTACTTTTTTCCTTGCAGTCAAAAGAGCTGCAGATGAAGTTTTAGCAGAAGCAAAGAAACCACGAATTGAGGTAATGGAATTTTATTTTAGAGGCGATTCATACTGTTAGAGAAATGGGGATTGCGTAGCAATAAGAGTTCGTTGCTCATGGTATCGTAGGAGCTGTTTTTGTGAAAAAATCGCTATAGAATAAATAGTAGCTTAAGCTGTAATTTAAGATCTCTGATGTATGAACTATGTCACGGATAAATCACTTTATTTTCCTTATTGGTGAAAGTGTTGGACTATATCAGGGATCAGAAAATTTTCTGTAAAGAGCCAGAGAGTAGATGTTTCAGGCTTTTGGGGGCATTTAACCTCTGTCCAGTTACGGCACTCTGCCTGGTGGGGTGGAAGCTGGCATGGACTGCACGTGGGTGAACAGGCGGGGCTGCACTCCAGTTAACTACAGAGCAGGCAGGGGCCGGGTTTGGCCTTCGGGCTGTCGTTTGCCCAACCCTAGAGTAAGATGGCATGGAGATTTGCTTCACTCTTAAGAGCTGTGAACATAAAGTGCTTATTACAGTTACTTTTAAAATATTGACACATCAGGTTACATATTTTTATAACATGTTACAGCCAGCAGGTGAAAAATAATATTGGTAAATAAAGTAGTTTACCTGCAACAGAAGTCACTTAAGAAATGCACTAACCTCTGGAAAGAATATTTGTTGATTAGCTAGTGTACTGGGGAAGACTTGAGGAATTTTATGATACTGTTTATTTAAATGTGTAACAGGCCCCAGATCAGTTACACAGCAATACCCCTTTGGTTTGCAGGCTGGCACTCAATCCAGTGAGCCACACCAGCCAGGGCATAATTTTCACATGACTGAGAATTGGCCAGATGTTTTTTAGGTACTGATAATAATGATAATTAGCTCACTGTTATTGTTTTGTGCTAGCTGATGCTCTCTGTACTTTATGTATATTAACTCCTATAATCCTCACCACAAGCTCCTGAAATTGGCAGTACTGTGCATGTCATCTATGAGCACACCAGCTCAGAGAGAGTAAGTGACTTGCGAGGTTCACAGAACCAGGACCAGAGCCCAGGCAGCCTGGCTGCTGGCCACTCCACTCTCTTGGGTACAAATTTTATGGCAATAAAACTAAAATTTTCCCCAGCTCTTTTTCTCTGAAAGGAGGCTGTGACCCAATAACAAAATGAATATGTTAAAGGATACCATTTAAAAAAAAACCTTAGATCCATAGTATAATTATTGAAAAAATGAACATATTGGAAATACTCTTTTCTAGGATTCTAGTAATTTGAAAAATCAGCAGGGTATAGCGTAATAAGTTTGTTTGCAGAGCATTTATAGAGTTAAATGAATTCCTTAAATGGCTATATTACATAAACAGTTTTCAGTTCAGCAGATATATGTTGAGAACCTTCAAGGCAGTATTCTAGGAGTCAGAAACCTTGAGGATAGGGATTCTCATCTGATAAAAACTAGGCTGCAATTGTTTTTAAAATCCACAAGTAGCCTTCTAAGGAACTTGAGTAATATGGTGGTTACACCTTTGTTACAAATGTCAAAAAATGTATTGGATTTCGTAAAATATTATTCTTGCATTTGTGTTAGCAATATGTCTATTTAAAGAGTTTTAAAAAGATTGTATTTATTTATTTTTAGGGCAGGAGAAGGAGAGGGAAAGAGAGGGAGAAAAACATCAGTGTCTGGTTTCCGCTTGTGCACCCCCTACTGGGGACCTGGCCCACAACCCAGGCACGGGCCCTGACTGGGAATCGAACTGGCGACCCTTTGGTTTGCAGGTTGGCACTCAGTCCACTAAGCCACACCAGCCAGGGCATAATTTCAATTCGCATACCTGAGACATGGGCTGGATGTTTTTTAGGTAGTGATAATAATGATAATTAGCTCATTGTTATTACTCTGTGCAAGGTGATGTGCTCTGTACTTTATGTATAGTAGGTATATTTATTGGTTGATAAGTAAAAACAGTAGAATTACGAGCAACATTTGATACTAAAATAATGTAAATTTTTAAAAGATTTTATTGAATATGGTCCTCAGTTTCCTTGTTTGTTGAATGTGGAGATTAAACTATATCAGAGTTACTAAATTTTGTTTTTAAGTAACCAAACACTTTTCAGACCAAATTTTACTTGAACTTCTAATATGTAAATTAGGTAAAAAGCTGCAGCCAAGGTTGACTTCAGATAAGAAGTGGCCCAAGGGGCACTTTGTAGTCAGTTCCTAATGTTTGGAGGAACAGGCTCTGAAAACCATTAAAGGTTCACTTCCGATGCTTTGGTCTTTATTGATGGATTTCAGGACCTGGGGCAACAGATGAAAACAATCTAGACCCAAAGTGAGATTTTGACTGTGGTGAAGGCTTTTCACAAACTTAGTTACAAACTTTCTTGAAGAATAAGAATTTATTTACTGTATGATATCTTTCTGAATAAAGGTAGCTGTGATACCTTTGGAAAGACCACTTAATCATAAAAAAGTTACTGAAGAGTTTTGGTAAGCTTTTAGTCAGTTCTACTCTTTCGTGATCCAACATATGTTTATTACTGTTGTCTTTATGTAATTGAAATTAAGCTTCAAGTCGTCACAGGGCCATTGATGCCTTGGAATTTTATAGGCAGGAATATATGTATGGGTGTATTACATGCAGTGTTGTTTCATTCTAAAAATTGAATAAAGCTTTAAAATACTAAGCAGCCATTGTTTTCAGGATGAAGAGTGTGTGCGACTTGATAAGGAGAGATTGGCTGCTCGCTTGGAGGGTCACAAAGAAGGGATTGTGCAGACTGAACAGATTAGGTAAGACTTTCTTCGGTAGCAAGTAGACAGTTCAGGTTTATGTAAGTGTGTAGGGAAAAGCGGCTATTGACTTACTATCTTCATTTGCATTTTCCTCTTGCGTTCATTATTTGCTACGGCGCCCTGAGTTCAAAAGTTGATGTGTGGGCATGTTTTATGATGGGATGGAGGTTAGAAGCCGTTGTGTGACTTACGCTTTCTAGAAAGCCTTCCTCTGGATTCGGTGACCATATTGATCTTTCCCTTTTAAATTATGTTATAATCCAAGCCACTCATTTGTCACGTACTCTCTTGTTGACGTAGAGGTCAGCAAACTTTCTGTACAGTGCCACATTTCAGTATTTAGACTTCACAGGTCACAGGGTTTTTTGCACCTCTTCAACCCTGTTGTGGTAGGAAACAGCTCTGGACTGCTTTCATTCATAAATGAATGGGCTTGGCTGGTTTTGGCCTGTCATCTTATTTTGTTGACTCTTGATTTTTACTGTAATTAGAATCACTTTATAATTTTTCTTTGGCACAGTATGTTTTTGGAAGTTTTATCCAAACTTAAAATTGTAATGCAGATTTGAAATGCTTTATTGAGGATGATTCACATACAATAAACTATTCAAAGTGTGTAAGTTGATCAATTCTGTGTAAGTCTACCTCTGCGACATCACATTCAAAGTGATGAATGCAGCATCAGCACCATCCGCATCCTGCACACCCTTACACTGCCACGGTCCACCCATCCCCACGTCCCCCCCTCCCCAAGCAACCAGTGATCTGCTGCTATGGAGATCAGGGTTTTTTCCCTAGAGTTAATATGAATGGAATTATATGGTGTGTACTTTTTGGTGTCTTTCGCTTAGCATAATTATTTTGAGACTCATCTCTATTGTTGGATGCATCAGTACTTCATTTCTTATTATTGCTGAGCAATACTCCATTGTATGGATGTAACAGTTTGTTCCCCAGTTATCACCTGGTAAATCTTTCTCTGTACCTGTTCTTGTTTATGGACATATATTTTTATTTACCTTAAGTGAATTCCTAGTAGTCATGATTGGATCATGTTGTATTGGAGATTTAATTTTTTGAGAAATTACCAAAGAAGGTGTGATATATATGTTCAATGGAATACTACTCAGCAATAAGAAAAGGTGAACTACTGCCCTTTCTGACAACATGAATAGACCTTTAGAATATCACACTAAGCGAAGTAAGTCAAACAGAAAAAGTTAAGAATCATATGGTTTTTACTCATATGTGAGATGTAAAGCTGAAAGCAACAAATGAACAAACAAGACAAACAAATTTCATAGACAGCAGTCAACAGTGTGGTGGTCACCAGAAGGAAGGGGGTTGAAGGAGAGCAGAGGGTGAAGGGGGTCAAATACATGATGATGGAAGACGATTTGACTTTGGGTGGTGGGCACACAGTGCAGTGTATAGATAATGTATCACAGAATTGTACACTTAAGCATATGTAATCTTACTAACCAATGTTACCCCAGTCAATTAAATTAAAAAAAAATTGCCAAACTGGTTTTCGCAGTGATTGTACTATTTTACGTTTCTGCCAGTAGTGTGTAAGAGTTCTGTTTTCTTTACATCCTTGGTCGGACCTTTTAACTTCAGCCTTCTAAATTGAAAGATGTCGTGAGCATCTTTCCATGTGCTTATTCTGTTTTACATCCTATGTCATCTTTAGTAAAGTGTCTTCAAGTTTTTGTTCATTTCTATAAAACTTACTTTTAATTACAGTTTATATGCAATATTATGTCAATTTTCTTTGAAATGTTTTTTATTACTGAGTTTTGACAGTTTATTATATGTTCTGGATACACGTCCTTTTTCAGACATGCTTTTCAAGTGTTTCCCCTGGTCTGACTTGTCTTTCAGTTTTCTATCAGAATATTTTAATTTTTATGAAATCTAATTTATGAATGTGTTCTTTGGTGAATTGTGCTTTGGTGTTGTATCTAAGAAATCTTTGAAAAGATAGACAAAGCTAGTCTATATTTTCTGGTAAAAGTTTTGTCATTTTAGGTTTCACATTTTAAGCCTACGATCCACTTTCAGTTAATTTTTTTGTCTTTGGTATGTGGTATGGATGAAATTCACTTATTTTTTTATGTGATAGGTTTCTCTTTTTTTTATGTTGAAGTTAAATTTATTGCATATGGGTGGTTAGTGTTTTCAGTACCATTAGTCTCTAGTGAATTGTCTTTGCAGTTGTTCCTTCACCTGTAGGACCCTGTGTCTGGACCTGTTCTGGATGGTGGTTCTTTGTCTTTTTTGCCAGTACCATAGTATTTTAATTACTCCTTCTTGATAATGAGTTTAGAAATCAGATTGTGTTAGTTTTCCAACTCTGTTCTTCTGTTTCGGGGATGTTTTGGTGTTTTAGGTCCTTTGCATTTACATATGAGTTTTAGAATTAATCTGTTCCTACAAAAAAGCCTGGTGGGATTTTGATTTTGACTGCTTGGAATTTGTCGACCAATTAGGGGTAGAATTGACATCTTAAAAATATATTCTTCTGACATGTTGAACAAGGTGTATTTCTCTATTAATGGAAAGATACTTAGTTCTTTCTTAGTTTCTCTTTACCATTATATACATTTTCAGTGTACAAGTTATATGTCTTTGTCATACTTTCATACATTGTTGCTAGTATAAGTGGTAGTTAAAGAAATTAACAATTTTGATTATTGCTGGTGTAGAAATACCATTGGTTTTGGGTGTGGCCCCTGCATCCTGCAGTCATGCTAGACTCATGGGTTAGTCCTTGTAACCATTTTTGTAGACTTTGTTGGCTCTTCTGCATAGATAGTCACGTTGTGTACACAAAATATATCTTTACTTTTTTCTTTCCAAGCTGGATTCCTTTCTTTCCCGAAGTGCACTGGCTAGACTTGCTAATCCAGTGTTGACCAGAAGCAGTGAGATTAGACATTCTTGTCTTGTTCCTCATTTTAGGGGAAAGCATTCTTTTATCATATAGGCATATTAACTTAGGTTGTTTTCTTTTTCCTTTTTATTTTTATTTTTCAGGTAATCTTTAACAAGTGGAGGGAATGTCCTTTTAAAATTCAGTTTGCTGAGATTTTATCAGAAAGGAATGCTTGATTTTGTCAAATACTTTTTCTGAATCTTTTGAAATGATCATGCAGTTTTTCTTTTTTATTAATACAGTTAATTTTTTGAATGCTTACATTCCATGGATGAGCTCTACTTGTTATCTGTTGCTGACTAACAGGTTAACCCAAAGCAGAGTGGCTGAAACAACACCTGCATCATCTCAATTTCTGTGGGTCAGGAGTCTTGATGTGACTTACGTGGCTTCTCTGCTTCATAGTCTCTCGCAGGCTGCAGCATGGTGTTGCCCAGGACCGTGGTCTCATATGTAGGCACGGTTTGGGAAGGATCTGTTGCTAGGCCATGTGATTGTCGACAGAATTTTGGTCCTTGCAGGTTGATAGATAGCTGATTGTTTAGACAACTGTCTTGGTTCTTGGCCACATTTGGTTGGTCCATAGAATATTTCACAATACTATAGTTTGTTTCATCAGAGCAGGCAAACAAGAGGACTAGAGAGAGGTCAAGCAAGATAAAAGTCAGAGTTTTTTATAGTCACATCTTCAAAGTGGCACCCCGTTACTTGCACACCATTCTGTTCCTTAGAAGCCAGGTTGAACCCACACACATACCCAGAGAGGGGATTAAATGTGTTTGTGGATGCCAGGAGCGGGGGGTCACGAAGAGTCATGCAGGCCCTGGATGGGTGGCTTGGTTAAAGCATCACTGTGTACACCAAAAGGTTGTGCGTTCGATTTCCGGTCTGGGCACGTAGGTTGCGGGTTCGATCTTCTGTCCAGGGGCCTACAGGGTGTAATCGATCAGTGTTTCCTCTCTTTTCTTTCCTCTCTGAAATCAATAAACATATCCTCTGGTAAGAATTTAAAAAAATAGTCATGTTAGAAGTAGCCTACCACATTTTTTTAAAAGGTTTTATTTATTTTAGAGAGGGGAAAGGGAGGGAGACAAAGGAATAAACATCAGTCTGTTGCCTCTCACGCACCCCCTATTGGGGACGTGGCCTGAAACCCAGGCATGTGACTTGACTGGGGATCAAACCCTGTGGCCTCGTAGTTTGTGGGGACAATACCCAAGCCACTGAGCCACACTGGTCAGGGCCCATTGAGTTTCTTGAGGGAATTTGGGGGTTCATAATTTTCATTGAATTTGGAAAATTTTTGGCACTGATTTTTCAACTTTTTTTTCCTATTTTCCTCTTTCTGGTCTATAGTTACTTCAGCTGTGGTTGAAGTTGTTCAGCAGCTCACTTAATGTTCTTTTTTTGTATTCTTTTGTATGTCCATTTTCTTGGACTCTTCATTCTGGATAGTTTCTGTAATGTAGTTCACTAATATTTTCGTCTGTAATTATATTTTCAATATATTTGTTGTCTCCATCATTGCATTTTTATTTCTACAAGTAGGGTCGATACGTAATCTGTGTCTCTGTTTAACTTTTTGAGCACATGGAATAGAGTTGCAATAATTATTTTAATGTCTGTTTGCTAATCCTGTGTCTGTGTCAGTTTACAGCTGGTTTGATTTAGATTTCTCCTCACTCTGGCTCGCATTTTCCTGCTCCTTTAACATGCCTTGTAATATTCAGGTACTAGACATTTTCATTTTATCTTTTTGAGTGCTAGATATTTTTGTATTTCTTTAAATTTACATTTTGGAATGTAGTTAAAACACATGGAACTAGTTTGTCCCTTTTGGGTAATTAATTGTTCCCCACAAATTGGTGAGGCACATCCACTCTGAGGACTCTCCTTAATGCCCGGTGAGTGTGAAGTGGGAACAGGTGCCACCCTTCACCCTGTGTGGACACTGGCTGTGGTCCACCGAGTCCCCTTGGAGGGTTGTGTGCCTGGCTTGGCTTCCTCCTAGTCCTGTGCTAATGGGAACTCTGCTGGAATCCTCGAGGGGGGCCTTTTTTTGCAGCTCTCTCTCCCCAGGCCCTCTGGCCTGTGAACTCCAGCCACCTTCGTTTTACTGGGCTCAGCTCCTTCTCTCAAATCCTGAGTCCACTGAGTTTTCCTAAGGCCTCCTGCCTGTGCCATGATGGAGGCTTGCAAGGCTCAGCTCGTCAGAGATTGCTGCCTTCTGTTGCTTCATGTCCGCTGTCTCGTACCCTGTCATTTCACGTGTGCTGACTGGTTGTTTCAAAAAGGAGGGCCGCTGCGGTCTCTGTTAATTCATCTTGGCCAAAAGAAAGTCCAGTATACGTTTCATGATAACTGAGAAGAGTATTTGATTTGGCCCAAGGTGTGCTGCTGTGCCTCAGATTTTGGGGGGAAGTTGCGCAGTATTATATAAAACGAGTCCAGTACTAAATGGATACTCAGCTTCTGCTGTAAAGCACCTTCATACCTTATATAAATAAGCTGGTATACTATATAATGTTACCATATTTAAACCTGCAGGAATTCCTGTCCTTTTTCCAGATGTTGTTTAAACGTATTTCAAGATTGCCATCTTGTGATTAGAGTAATAATTTTATCATCTGTTAAGGTACCCAAACACTTTTCAACTTTTTCTCATTTTACATTGTGAAAAATGACACTGAGGTTAAGATTATTATCATAATGAAACCTGTCCTCTCAGTGTTATTTTTTTTATAGTTCTGAAAGCTTCTGTTTACTATTTTGCCTATTATTTGAAAATTAAGTAAAGGAAAGAAAAAGAAACCTCAGAATATGGTTTCATCTTCCACACAGTAAAAGAAGCATATGTCTATGTGGCATAATGAAAGCCTCCTGTCACCTATAAAATTGATGTGTTGTACATTAGGATATAGAGATTTGAAACCTTGAAGTAAATTTCAGGGAAAATCTGAGCTTTGAGTTTTTTATAGAATGAATTTTTCACCCTCCCTTTCTAAGGGGTTGTGTGTGTATGATTTACATGGGGGTGTGTGTGTGTGTGTGTGTATGATTTGCATGGGTAGAGGAACATAAGCAAATAAAAGTCTCAGAAAAATATAAAGAAAAGCAGCATGTTAATGAGTTCTACTCTTTTGGGGGAAAAGACACACACAAAAAAGTGATGATTTTTGTGGAATTGATCCTTCTAAGAAGTAACTAATTTGCTCATAGAGTAGTATTTTTATATGGGCTCTTTATAAAAAATCTTACATGAGCATAAAATATGAAGTATGTCATTTTTATAGATAAGAAGAAAACCTTAAATTATTGCCACTTCTAAAATATTTTTATTGTGAACTTTCAGTTGTTATACAGTATATTTTGATATGCTCAAAGGATCCTTGCTGTGAAAATTAAAAAAATGAATTGCTTTTAGGTCTTTGTCTGAAGCTATGTCAGTGGAAAAAATTGCTGCCATCAAAGCCAAAATTATGGCTAAGAAAAGATCTACTATCAAGACTGACTTAGATGACGACATAACTGCTCTTAAACAGAGGAGTTTTGTGGATGCCGAGGTGGATGTGACTCGAGATATTGTCAGCAGAGAGCGGGTGTGGAGGACGCGGACAACGATCTTACAGAGCACGGGAAAGGTAATGGGGCCCTGGGCACGTCTGTGGGTGTCCCACCCGGGAGCCTTACAGGAGTGGTGAAAGTTTGCTGCGGGAGGTTTCAGTCTGACCTCTGAAAGATCAGGGTAATGTTGGGGTCTGCGTGCTGTGTTTGCCGTTGTAGTCTGCAGTACCTTGGTTGTTGGTCACCAAGGAAGCTGCCAAGAAAGTCTGACTCCACATGCAGCCCCTGATTTATATCCTCACTTGTTAGTGCAAGAAGGGGCTCAGTTTTCCCGTGGATCAGCTTGTTGCTTAAACCCAGGGAACAGGGAACATTGATGTCAAGCTTTCTGGTCACTCATTTTTTTTCTCCACAAAGTAGAGAACTTGGGGAAATCAGTCAGCAAACATTTATTGCATGTATTTTAAATATTCCGATGTGTGGATGTACTAACAATGACTTGTTCCCTATTAAGAGTCTTTTTTTTTTTTTTTTTTTTGCTGTAGGATTTTGGGATTTTCTTCCCTCTTTCTCCTCCTATTCTCCCTACCCCCCACTTCTTCTCTACCTACCTAGTCACAGTTACAGATAATGCATTAAAAACATCCTTGTACATAAGCCTTTGTGCACTTACATGTATTTGGCAAAAGAATTAATCTGTAGATGCAAATTGCTGGTTAAAGGAGATGTGTACTTTAAATTTTGAAAGATAGAAATTGGAAAGATACGGGATGTCCAGTATTGATTGGATCTCGGAAAGGTTGCAGTGATTGTCTCACCCATGTACTTTCTTTCATCTGTCTCCCCCGCCCCCACCTCAGTTTTCTCCTAGATGGGAATGTCCCCACTGATGCACAGTTGTTAGCAACGATGGTTTGGTAAGGAAGTCGGTACACGTGGGTGAGGTCGCTGATGAAAGTGAACTTTTGCGTGGGTTTCTTTTGCAAATTCGGGGTTCTGGCCCCCTGTTGACTGTGTCACTTACTGTGGTGGGAGTAAAACTGCTAGCGGAGTCCGGAAGGAGAGAATTCTTCTGTTCTTTGGCTTGTTTTACAAAGTACTTGAATTTAGGATTAAGCAGCATTCTCCAGAGTTTAGGATTAAAGAGAGATCTAGAATATGAGTAAACTTCTACTTTTGTATTTATAGTAAATGATCTGTTTAATACTCATTTTTACTGTCTAATGGGGCTCATAATTGAATATTGTGACTCACATTGTTCTACCGATGTTTATTGTAATTGTTGAAAAATCTGAATTCTATAGTAATGGAATAAAACATAGGTGAATATAATCCACCTTACTTTTAGACCAAACATTAAGTTTTCAAATAACTGGGGTGAACAATTTTTATTGATCCCTAGGTGGCAGGATTGCATCATCATTTGAAAACTCAGTATTCTGATTTACTTTAGTGTTGTTGGTACCGCTGTTGCATTTTTTAAAATAGACTAATTTAAGAATTGTTTGGCAGCTAGCTTTGCTTCTATGAATATAATCATTTTAAAAATAAAAATTATTGTGACTGATATTTTCTCTGTATACTGTTTTCTTTCTTGCTAAATTGTCAAAAACCTTGTAGGTACTCAGCCCTCGAAGGCCCCAAGGATTTAGACACTATTTTCTGAGTTTTGGGACTAAAAGACAGGTTGAAGATGAGAAATACAAGTTACATTACTATTGCAGGCATTCTATACAAAGGAGCCTAATTTTTATAATGGCATAAAAAACACATTTTTGAGCATACGTTCATTGCCAATTTAGGCATGTGTTCATTGCCGAAAAGTTGATAAAGAGAGATTATTAAAAGGAAGCTAATCACCTGTACTGCCACACAGAAGGTTGGTTTTTCTAGACCCCGTGCCTCTCACCCAGTCCTGCACTGTGTTTACAGTACTGAGACCTGCTTTGCATCGCTTCGCACTGCTGGGCTGGCCACTGTGCTGCCCTGCGCATGGCTGCGCATGCAGCAGCCGGCTCCCCGCGGGCCTCAGTGTGAGCGGCCGTGGGCACTAGGCTCTGCTCACGGCCGGCCGGGTGCTCTTCTCCCACTGACCGCGTCCTTCAGGAAATGCCAAATGGGACTGGTTCCATAATCTTGAACAACATCTTTCTAGTGTTTCGTGTGATGAAATTAGAGCATATAAAGCACGTCTGCAGCAAAGTAGGATGTTTGTGCCCGTGAGTAGCACTGTACCATCGTTTAGGTTGTGGGCCAAACCAGCTAACTTTTCACAGAAAGTTATTTTTTATTTGAAAACCATGCTATACAGACTTACATACTTGGCAGACATTTTTCAAAAATGAGGGAAGTTTGTTTCTTCAAGGCAAGAGTTTGATGATATTTGTTGCCAGTAATAAAATGTGGGCTTTTATGAGAAAATTCAGATTTGGGGAAGTTTCTTTTTGCTTCTGTGACTATAACAGGTTCTTAATACTCAGACTCTTCTGATGAGATCTGTGGTAAAATTGCAGTTTGTTGATGTTACAGTATGGTAACATGGGGAAGGTTTCCATAATTCAGTGATGAATATTTTCCAGACAACTGTTGCATGCTGTTAACAGAATTATGTGTGGGTAAAAGAAAAAAATTTATTTACTGTACCAAAGATACCAGTGGATTTTATTCATTTATGTATTTTTAGAAAGATTTTATTTATTTACTTTTAGAGGGAGGGGAAGAGAGGGAAAAAGAGAGGGAGAAAAACAGTGATGTGCAAGGGGATATATTGATCAGTTGCCTCCCACACGCTCCCAAATAGGGAACCTGGCCTGCAACTCAGGCAGGTGCCCTGACTGGGAATTGAACTGACAACTCCTCCGTTTGCAGGCGGGTGCTCAATCCATTGAGCCACACAAGCCAGTGCATGGATTTAAAAATAACAGTACAGAAATTTACGGATGCGGTTTTCACATTGCAGTAACCTTTAAGAAACTACTACTTAGTATGTGTTGGCATGATACCAAAGAGTATCCACAGTTATCCGAAAGCTGTTACACTCTTGTGTGTGTTTGTGAGAGAGAGGCTAGGTTTTTCTTATATGTATTTACACCAAAACAAACAAAAAGGTATTACAACAAATATTAACTGTACAAATAGATGTGAAATTATAGCTATCTTCTATTAAGCCAGACATTGAGATTTGCAAAAATTAAGAACAGTGCCACTCTTTCTTGTCATTACTTTTCTTGCATTGTGGGAAATAATTTTTAAAACCCCAGGTTGCTCCAGAAAGCATTGAACCTTTACGAAGACTTCAAGCAGGGACCCCCTGAAATGAGTGACCCCTAGTCATTTACTGCAAGTAAGGGATGGTCAGCCAGATTCAAGAACAAGTTTGGACTGAAAAATGTAAAAATTATTGGAGAAGCTGCATCTGTTGGTAAAGAAGCTGCTGCACTTTTCTGGCGGAATGAGGGAGTGATTAGGGCTTTTATACCATTTGCTGTTTGAGGCATCCACTGGGGGCCTGGACCACATTCCCCATGGATAAGGGGGGACTCCTGTGGTAGTTGATTTAGAATTAAGCCTCTTTTGACAACGAATTTGTCTCATCTGTCTCATTGAAGTGTTAACTAGTTAGAGTAGATGCAGAATACAAATAAATGTAGGCCAGTTATGCAGTTTAAGTAAAATGAAAAGCACTGGGTTTATAATAATCAGTCTTTAGGTCAGTTTCCTTGTGGTAGTTGATTTGACGTACGTGTGTAGCAGTAATATCTCATAACGGTGTAGAAGGGAAGAATCAGTAGAAAACTTAGTCTAGAATTACTAAGTAAACCAGCTGTCTTTGAATGTTTAAAACTAAAGTGGGCTTAATTAAAATCTATTTATATTTTAGAATTTTTCCAAGAATATTTTTGCAATTCTTCAGTCTGTAAAAGCCAGAGAAGAAGGGCGTGCACCTGAACAGCGACCGGCCCCAAATGCAGCACCTGTGGTAAGAATGTTTATTGCTCGCCTGGTAATTTTACTAACAACAACGCTTGGTTTTCAGTATTGTGATTTTGAAGACATCTAATCCTGAAGTTTTTCTGTTAGTAGGCCTTAAACCTTTTGCTGGTGCAACACACACAAAGGATGTGAAAACCCTTCTCACCATTATAAGTTACTTCAGGAACAAATCTTTTAATTTTGTAGTTTTTAAAGATTGTATTTATTTATAGAGAGGAGAAAGACAGGGAGAGAAACCCTGATGTATGAGAGATACGGTGCTAGGTTGCCTCTCGCACACCCCCAACGGGAGACCTGGCCTACAGCCCAGTGCCCTGACTGGGAATTGAACTGGCGACCTTTCAGTGTGCAGGCTGGTGCTCAGCCCACTGAGCCACACCAGCCAGGGCCATTCTGCTTTAGTTTTAGCTATTTGGAAGGTTGCCTGTGTCACTCTTTGAAGTGCCACCTAGGATCCTCCCAAAATAAATTTTATGTATGATATATATGGACTGTATTTAAATTTGGACATACCTTTTAATTTTGTTCAAATCCTCCAACTAGTTTTATATGCATCAGCAAAGGAAATAAATATACAAATAATTGTTTACGTTTTATATAAAAATTTTAAAAGTATATCAACATTTGATAGGATATAAATATAGTTTTTCCAAGATCTAGTAGTTTGGTTTGTTGCTGGAATCATTGGTACTTAATCATGTATAAGTAGTGAATGTTTGCGGGTGTGTAGATAAACACTTTCTGTGGACTTGGCAGCAGTACTGAAAGTGCCTGTTATTTGTCAGGCTGTGTGCAGACAAGAGATACAACAATGAGAAGGTTCCCAGTCCCTCTCCTTTCTGAGCTTACAAGTCTCCGGGACGGGGAGATGATTAAGAGCGTTTGATGGTGAAACAGTGGGCTTACGTTAATGATTTGCAAGACATTGCAAATAGCAGTTGGTAGGAGACTTGTGTCGAATCTTAACAGTTTAACCATTATCTTTGTGACTGTGAATATTCTCTGTGTTCCCATAATCGTTAAAATACTTGAAAAGTTTAGTGTTGTATTTGACTAGGGAAGTGTGTGTGTGCCCGCGCGCGCGCATACATTTCTAATGACAGTCTTAAATAATTAAAGTGTCTCTTATTTGGAGCAACAAAATGAAGAGTGTTTTAGTTTTCCCGAGTATCATGAATTTCCCAACCAGTTTTTGGAATATTCTTTAAATATGTTTTTCAGATTATTACAGACCGAGTTTTAGATAAAGTATTTGTGAATTAAATTATCCATCATTTGGTTGGCAACTTTTTCTAAGTATTTTGGGGGAAAAAACCACCTCTGTTAACTTCAGTCTGGCCTTATACGTTTGTAATGGGTTTGTTGTTACAGTTGTCATTATTTTAATTTAAAGATGAACAATTTGGAAAATAATTCAGTGAAAAGGCTCTAAAATGTCAGCTTAATAAACTTTGAATTAAAAAGGTTTTTTTGTTTAAAAATTATAATTGGAGGGAGCTTATTATTTCAAAGGAAATTTGAGTCATTGGAATGAAAATACTATGCACACCTGTTTTATTTCTGCAGAGTCTAAGGGTTTTGCTTTTTGCTTTCCTGTGAGTTTACTTGGGGCACTTTGCCCTTGTTCCTGTAGGCGTGGCTGTTTTGTAGTAGTAAATAGTATCTTGAAAATAAGCATCAAATGACCCTCCTTTTGTCTTGTTGGCTATAGTAAGAAAGAAGCTTAGGAGAAAACACCCTTATTGTGGTGTTCATTATGAATATTTAGTAACAGTTTAGATTATTAACGTGAAGCCATGATTTATTTCTCCTCAGGATCCCACATTGCGTACCAAACAGCCTATCCCAGCTGCCTACAACAGATACGACCAGGAACGATTCAAAGGGAAAGAAGGCAAGTTGCTCAATTTTTATCATTCTTTACTGCTGTTGTACTCAACTTGAGAGGCCTGATGTTTAAGGGAGGGGTTGGCAGGCCACATTGGAGCATGGTCACACTCCTTCATTTATGTAAGTTTATGGCTCCGTTGGTGTTGTGACAGCAGTGTTGATTGTGACAGGGACTGTGCTGTCTGCAAAGCCTCCGCCCCTGTCTGGTGTCCTGCAGAGCGAATTTGCCTGCCCTGCTTAAGTGCATGCATTCCCTATTCAGACGGCCAGCGTCACACTTCGCCTGCATTCTGCCTCAGTTTCTTCCTTTGTAATATTACAATACTGATAGCAGTAGTGGCATAGAACCTGTCCGTCAGAGTTATTGTGCGGTTACTCTGTTTAATCAGGTCCCTAGAATTAGTGACTGGTATATAATAAGCTATCAGATACATATGCTGTTCTGACTGTTAGTGCTGTTTCTCCAAAAGTCATTTTAGAGGGGAGATGCTGTATGTCAGCTCATGTTTCCCGGATTATAACTGTGTGCACTGAGAACTTGGGAAGCACAGATTAGAGTTTCTGTCCGAGGATCCTTCTGTGGAAGTCCACGTGGGATAGTGGCCGACGCGGGAGGGGTCAGTCAAGTGGACTAATGCTGGTGTGACTTCTCATCTGTCTTGGCTTAGCTCATGAAAAAGTGAGGTGATAGCAAATGGACGTTTGACATTTGTCATTTTGCCTCCACTAGCTGAAATCTTTAAGTTGTGTTAAAGGATATTGTCTGGTGCAGCGAATTTTTGTGTTGACTTCATCGGCTGGACAGAGGCGTGTGCTGAATCTACGTTGTAGACAGTGGTCCGTTCTCTTATTCACTGCAGCGTTCTCATGAAATGCTCACATAAACTAGGGGTTGGCAAATCACTGCCTGCAGGTCGTATCTGACCTCACCATGCCCATCTGTTTCTCTCACTTCTGCACCACAACTGTAAAACTCAGTAGTTAGGACAGAGACCACATGGCTTGCGGTGCGTAAAACATTTAATAGCTGATGCTTCACAGCAAGACATGTTGGGGCTCTGGCTTGGAACCCTTATCCTAATTACAACACTAGTTTTCTACAGTATAACGTATGCCTATCAATGTAATTCTGGAACGTGACTTTTTATATATGTTAAAGACTTCTCATGACAATGCTTTTAGTGGTGCTATGATTGAGTATTAGGTGTAAATAATTTTTGGATTGTATCATCAAGAATCTTAGTCTAATTTTTGATCCTCCCAACAACCTGTCAACAACCTGTGTGGGTAGTGGATATAGTTGTAGAGGTGGTCTTACCAGCTTCTCCGTACTGGGCTCTTGGGTGTGTCTGAATATATTTTGAGACTAGTACCCTTAAACAGTTTTTATGTTCACAAGTATGTGATTTAACTTTATGTGTTCAGCAGAGTCCAGGCTTTGTTGTACTGTTGAATTATTAAGATATATTGAAGATTATTACTTTAGATTTGTGACTGATAAAGAAATACCTAAAATCTAATAGAAAACCTCTTTCCTTACAGAAACGGAAGGCTTCAAAATCGACACAATGGGCACCTACCACGGCATGACGCTGAAGTCTGTGACGGTAAGGCGCTCCGACTGCAGAGCTCCTTTTGTCCCATTCATTTTGTGTGGCGGCGGATGTTGAAGAAATCGTTACTCTTCAGTATTTTCCATTTGAAACAGTCATTAGTGACCAGTTGTGTCATTAGATCTGTGTGGTGATTTTTTGATTCATGGGTGTCCTTATTTTTCTTTCTCTCTCTCTCTCTCTCTCTCTCTCTCTCGTTCTTTCACCTGAGTTGCGTGTGTTTAAATCTGTTGTGATTAACTGCAAGTAGGTAGAATGCTACCTGGTTAGAGGGTTTAAAGCCAGTGAGAGGGCCAAGGTCCAGCTTGGAGAGCTTCGTGCCATAATATCTTACGGTCTTGAAAGGACAGAGTGCAGTGTTGATGCGATGCTACAAAGTGCAAACTTGACAGAACCAAATACTCAGATTTGGCTCACTTTTAGCAATCTTTCTGTTTTATTTTGGTAACGCACAGTCTGAAGTCTCTAAGCCGTATGTGTTTTTTAACATTTAATTTTTAGTGATAGGACATGGCGACATAGAGCAGGAATTCCATTAACCTCGTTTTGCATATTTATGTTACAGATCATGACACCTTTTACACTTTAAAATACTTAGTATATGCATTAATTAGAGTACCGTACATTTAAAACACGGATTCCAAGCTTTGTCTGGGGAGTCATCAGACCTTTGAGGACGCAGGGACATAGAGTGGTCCTTCATTCGCTTTGATTGCTCTCAACTGAGCTGGATCTTGCCATGCTCTACTCATTTCCAGAAGCAGCATTTAAATGTGGAGACGCTAATATTAAAAGTTGACTTTTTTCTTTTTCCCATGGAATTGAGGATTAGATATTCTGCTGATAATACAGCTGTTTTCAAATTGTCATCAGATTTATTTTCATAATTTTGAACTTGTACATGGACTTGTTCGTTCATTCAGCACTGTGTAAGACCTTATTCTGATTTCTGGGACTGCAGCTGTGACTGAGACAGATAGGGCTTCTCGAGGGGAAGAGTGAGTGAGGCGTCCCTGAGGAGGTGATGGGTGAGCAGAGGCCTGCAGGAGAGTGTCCCGTGAAAGACAGTGCAGAGGTCACCACGAGCGAGCCCCGGCAGAACCACAGCAGGAAGGCCAGTGTCTCAGAGGCCAGTGAGTGCTGGGCGAGTGGTAAGAGGTCAGGCACACCCGTCTTCTAACATCGGTCACGTCCTTCCTGACTTCACGATATAACTCTATTAGAGAAAACTTAAATTTGTAAAGATTCACTTATTGACATTTTGGGGTACAGAACTCGCCTACTGGTTATTCCCCTAGTGGATTAGTGTGGAAGCGAAGTTGTTTTTCTTTGGTAGCCATCAAAGTAAGTCTATGGTTATTGTGGTTTTTACTTTTGTTTCATATGAAATGCCATTAAGTTGGTTTCATCACTGAGTTTCCATGCAAATTGTAAAATCAGTGCTAGTTTTGAGAGTGATTCTTTTTACAGAACAATTTTTCTCAAATCCAAGGGCCGCCTCTTGATTAAGCAGTGGGAGAATGATAGGGATGCTTCCTCATCAGAGACCTTGTTCTTAAATATGCTAACGAGAGGGGCGAATTGAAGCACATTCACAGTGTGCAGTAATAAGGAGGTAATCACAGGAAGACATTGTGCATTGTGCAGGATGCAGCAGAGACAGAGTGGTCGGATTGCCGGTCTCTCAGTATTTTAATACCCATTTTGGATCTCTGCTGCTTATGACGCGATTTGTTTTAGCAGTTCTCACAGAATGCTTACAGAAGTGTGAACTGGAAAGCTTTGAAGTTCTCTGATAATTGTTTCTTTTAAAAAGTTAAACCTCAAGCCTGTGCTGCTTTTCCCCCCTTCCTTTTTCTTCTTCTGGAATTATTATGCATTTGTGAGCTTATGAGTTTCACTAATTTTGTACCTAATTCTCCAACTAAGAAAGTTTCTTTTATGATATCCACCCAGACATACAGAGCTGTTTAAGTGTCTGTTAAAGGCTTAATGTGTTACACAGATGTGACACAGTTCATTTTGTTGCCATTGTTCTTTAGGGTTTTGATGCACCAAGTTGACGTACAAAGTTACTAAAATTAGAATCAGTCTGCATTAGGGTTGATCTACATGACTAAGTTCCAGACTCCAGAGTTCTGTTGGAGATGTATGACTAAATTAATAAATTGATTCCTGCAGATGGCTAGAAATTTTTTACACAAATTAATGTTTCTGATGTGTTGTAGGGAAAAGGTATGTGTTTTGATAATAAAATACTTCATTAGAATCTTAAGTTAATGAGATTTATAGAAACTAATGCCCTGCCAGGGTTTGGTAATATTTGGTTAGTACTTCACAAAAGTAATAAGTTACTCAAGTTTATTACAGGAACAGAAGCCCAGGTGTCTTTATAGTTAGCTACAAGTTTATGTAATTGGGTCGCTGGTTAATTTTGACTGAGGTCAAGAAATGCATTTCATAGTAAAAGTTCCAGAGGCCGAGGCATGAATGTGGAAGGGTTGTTAGAAGGCTTTTCTCAGTTGTGTACCTGTTTCAGAGTGTATTACTTGGGTTCTAGAATGTTTAGGAATACTAGATTAAACCGGATTTGTGGTATGGTGATGTGATCATTTTTAATAGACGAATCAAGAGTGTGCATTCTTTCCCAAGCCTGTTTATCCTTAGTTTGCCTTTTTCCTCCCTCCTGTCGGGAATACTGGGGAGAGCTAGTGTTGCACTGGATCAGCTTCAGGGAAGCCGTCTTAGGAGTTACAGGTTGAAAGTAGAAACCATTTAGTACAGGGACAGCAGAATATATTTTCATGGATTCCTTTTATGAAAGGGGCCATATTACCTAAGTAAATGCCACCTGCTTGTGCTTTCATGAAAATTAAATTCAGTAAATGAGAGGGGTTGATGAAGACCTTTCTTTGTTAGATAGTAGCAAGGAACTTAGCTGTGGTTCAGCTGGAGAGGGACTACGAAAATATGATGAGTCCATCCTTTGTTATCTGTAACAGCGCTTTTCCATTGGTGTGCTACAAGAATGTTTAAAATATGTACCACCTGACTGCTTAGTCAGAGGAACTGACCTTGTTCCCCTTACATTGTCAAATAACAAAATGACAACAGCCAGTACAACAACAGCCATCTGGTGTGGATAATGACAGTTACACCTATTTTGTGTCATATCAGCAAAAAGTGTATGTTTTGGTGTGCCACAGAATTTTAGTAATTAACTTTTGTGGTCCATGAGATGAGAGGTATAAATCGCCGATCCGTGAGGATCTGGTTGTTGAATCCGGCACACCTTCATTTCAGCCTCCTGTTCCAGCTAGCTCAGTGGGGGGCCTGGTGCTCCCCTTCCCCTCCCCCTCTCTCGACTGTCTGTGGATCACCTTGCTGTCTGTGCAGTTTTGAGGAGGTGTTTTGCACTCTGAAATTGGGCAGCTCTAAAGCTTTAAGATCGTTATTCGAGTTGACTCTTACAGGCAGTAGTTCTGACAGGTCTTTAGGGAACCATTTTTCTAGTAGTAAGTAAACTTGAGTGGATTTTCAGTGTCTGCTAGGGGTGTAATAGGACCATCAACCTGTACTTTGTAGAAGGATCCAGAATCTCAGTCTCTTCTCAAACCTCTATTCTTAAGCAGAAATGCATACCTTAGTAACCTCCCTGCACCCTGTTTTGCAGAGTCTTTTCATTCTTGCTCAGGTGTTGATGGACTTGTTTGTGTCCGCTCAGAGGGGGAGGGGGCTGTGGGGGCAGCAGACACTGCGCCAGGTCCTGGATGGCAGAGGTGAAAGACTGGCACGTTCTCGTGGACTTCATCCAGGGTCCCTTGGAAGAGAGATACCTCAGCCCCTCAGAGAAAATCGTGGCTGTGCTGAGTGTGTGGGGTGTATCGTGCCATGGGAACCTGAAACTGGGGGGTTTTCTGGAAGACGGGCTGGTCCATTGAGGGGGCGGTAGTGGGAATGAGGCCTGAAGTTTGAGCTGGGGTGACTTGAAGACACCAGGAAAGCACATCTAGAAGTAGGGCCCCCAGTCCATTTATCATCCTGGTGGGGAGAGCAGGGCAGGTAGGAAGATGCAGAAGAAGACTGCTTATGTGTAGATTTTACGAGTGTGCATAGGAGCGCTTCTTCCCCAGCATCTGATGCTGCCTGCCTGGTCAGCCTGAGCACGCCACACGGGCGGCCAGGACGGCCAGCTGCTTCTGCGAGCCTGTCTCCCCGAGTCTCCCACCCCAGTGGATGCAGCCTTGAGCAAGTGGACGCTGCCTCTACCAGGAGGGGTATTTTCTTTTGTCGCCTCAGGGCCTGATGCCTTTTAGCCATCCTGCTTCCCTCCTGTGCACCACCTTCCGGGGCCAGTGGCCCTCTCATTTGAAGTCTGCATCTAAGTAAAGGCGGTTCCTGCTTGTTCAAGAGAAATGAAGCAGTGGGAAACACTGTGGATTGTCAGCCCTGGCTTTGAATCCCAGCTCTTCCATTCACTCTGCAGCTCAGGAAGTTAAGGAGTCACTTCACTTTTCTGTCAGTGGACGTGTTATTTTATTCACTGATTGACTGATTTTGTCACACGAGATAATTTTATTTAACACATTAAAACTATACAGGTCACAGTACAACTGCCCAGCCTTCCAGCTACTGCTGACACTTTTCCCAGCACAGAGAGGCCAACATATTGGAGTATCCGTCTCTGTTTTAACCTTTACTAAAAAAGAAGTTTCTGGTAGTCAGAACAAATAATCTCTCATTTGTTGCTTGAAAGCCTAAAATGGGATCATTGGTTTCTAGGCTTGCTGCTTAGCAACCTGCTGCACTTGCCGGCCTTCCCGCCTGTTGTAAAGTGCAGTGGACCCACGAGTGGGCCAACAATGGATGGGAACATGGCAGAGGCGTGTGTGCGGGCTACTCAGGAGTGACGTATGTGTACAGCACAGACCAAAAAGTTTCTGTCTGTCTGGATGCTTGGGTGTAGCCTGAAGCATGGGAAGTGACCATGTGCT